TTAACGTTGAATATTTTTTTTATGATTTGAACTTTATACACAAGTGCCAAAATACTTTAATTGTGCCTTAATGATGTTAGAACCTGTCTTGTTTTCCAACTTACTCTATCAATACGTTTTATTAAATAATGAAGAATGTCACGAAATGGAGCTGTACTTGACGGTAAGGAGGGGGAAATTGGTTGGTTTGTATTTGTTTATTTACATCATTCTTTTTTCTTCTAGAACCGTGCAAGAGTTTCTTAAGCCGTTTTTTTTCTAGCTACAGCTATAACTCTCGAAGGTTAGAAAAACATTTAGCTGGATCTCATGGAGACATGGTATTAGTTTATGTTTAATATATTGGAGTGACGTTAGTAACAGCAGACACTGTGCGTTATTTATGTCATGCAAAAAAAAAAAATGGTCCAAGTTTGGCAGGTTTAGAGCTACCTTGAAACTGGCTATTATGGCATTCACACGCATCTTAATCTAATTTTATTCTCAACTTTATTGCCAATAGTTCAGCGGTAAGACTGAGGACTCGCACTGCTAAAAGCCAGGTTTCGATACCCGTGGTGGGCACAGCACAAATAGCCCATTGTGTAGCTTTATGATGAAAAACAAACAAACATTTCTCAACTTTGATTGCGATATAAACATATCGTTACACTGAGATAAAACACGCGGAGCTTGATAAATGAATTATTTGGTTGCTATGTAACGTTTCACATTTATTAGTTTATCACTTAGGGGTCATATCTAACACCTTCAAGAATAACATCTCTGAAACAATACGGCTAAATTCTACCTATAAGTATTGTGAATATTTTCTTTGCTGTAGAAACTGAAGCGTCTCTGTTTTGTTCAAGTATTCACAGACTGTACGAGCAAGAAAAGTAGCGCCAAATAATTCAGTATTAAGTTCGTCATACAACAAAGTGTAATTATGTAGAAATCTATCAGCTCTATAAAATCAAACACACGGATTATCAATGTGATCGGTAGGAGAGTATTGATACGAGTATACAATCTGGAAATGTGTATTTCACAATAAATATCATGTTCTAGTATTTGTATTTATGACAAAACTGCTAAGGGCATCTGTCGCCGTCCCTAATTTCGAACTACTGGCCAGAGGGAAGGCACCCAAACAATAGCACCCTACCAACAACTATTCATGTCAGTGGAATGACTGCACTCTTATAACGCATCAACAGCATTAAGTTTGCGAAATATTTTGTGGTATTGCATGGACTAGAACCCGGGGTCCACAATCCAGAGCCCTACCACCGGACTAACCGGTTTGTTTGTTGTTAATCGCAAAGTTAAACACCGAGCTTATCTATGATGTACTCACCACAGGGATCGAACGCCGAATTTTAGCTTTGTAAGCTCTCAAGCTTGATGCTCAACCAAAGTTTGAGTGCTTATTATTCTAATTTTATAGAAAGACATTTTGTTTTGTTTGGAGTTAAACACAAAAGTACACAATGGGCTATCTGTTCTCTGCCCACCACGGGTATCTAGCGTTGTAAGTCCGCAGACATACAGCTGTGCCACTGGGGGGGGGGGCTTATAGAAAGACATATTTACTACAACCATTAAATGTGTCACTAATGTAACTAAGATAGCGTTTGATATTTTGTGTTATATTTTTAACTGTTATGTTCTATGGCAGTTATTTACAAATATTTATTGCAGATGCAAGACTAGATTTTACACTGACCTTATCTGTTTCATCACAAATATCTCAATCTCAAACACATACTTGGATATTCCTGTAACTACGCCAGGAAGTATAAACTTGAAAATGTTTAAAAACACATATTTGGATATTCCCGTTACTACGCCAGGAAATATAAACTTGAAAATGTTTAAAAACAAATACTTGGATATTTCTGTTACTACGCCAGGAAGTATAAACTTGAAAATGTTTAAAAACAAATACTTGGATATTTCTGTTACTACGCCAGGAAGTAAAAACTTGATAATGTTTAAAAACACATACTTGGATATTCCTGTTACTACGCCAAGAAATATAAACTTGATAATGTTTAAAAACACATACTTGGATATTTCTGTTACTACGCCAGGAAATAAAAACTTGATAATGTTTAAAAACAAATACTTGGATATTTCTGTTACTACGCCATGAAATAAAAACTTGAAAATGTTTAAAAACATATATTTGGATAATTCTGTTACTACGCCAAGGATAAAAACTCGATAATGTTTAAAAACACATGCTTGAATATTCCTGTAACTACGCTAGGAAATAAAAACTTGAAAATGTTTAAAAACACGTACTTTAGATATTCCTGTTACTACGCCAGGAAGTAAAAACTTGACACAAAAACAGGAACCTGTTTGTTTCCTTAGCACATTTTCTTTCTTTTTTTTTTTTTTTTGCAGTTTATCAAAATTAGTTAGGACGAATTTGAAAAGAACAAATTTTTGTGTGTTTGAGTATTTCCTTGGATTTTGAGAGGTAATTTTAAGAAGAAGCAATGTGAACTTCAAGATGAAATTTTATACATTATAACCGTTACAAAGATCTTTTATATATATAAACTGTAAAATATTTCCAAGTTATAAGATACATTTACTATCTAAAGCTTTGTTCAATCCTTTATTTAGACGTTATAAAATACCCTTACCAATAGGTTAGTTTGATCTTCTATTTTACAGTTATAAAATATATTTATCAATGTTTTCGCTTGATGTTTTATTTTTCGATTATAAAACACACTTATTAACAGGTTAGTTTGATAATTTAATTTTATATTGTAAAACACACTTATTAACAGGTTAGTTTAATAATTTAATTTTATATTATAAAACACACTTATTAACAGGTTAGTTTCATAATTTAATTTCATATTGTAAAACACACTTATTAACAGGTTAGTTTGATAATATATTTTTTGATTGTAAAATAGACTTACTAACAGTATAATTTAATCTTTTATCTTTAGATTTTAAACACATTTAATACGATGTTGGTTTAACTTTTTTATCTTTTGTTATAAAATGCATTTACCAACAGGTTAGTTTCATCTTTAATTTTAGGCTCTAATACATTTTACTAACACATCAGTTCGGTTGTTGTTTCAATTTTAATGCTCCTGAAATAAGTGCTACAGGTTTTCTGTAGACTTAAGAACAACATACAATTTTTCAGCTGTAAGTTTTGTTTATATTTACACCAAAATATAAAATCATTATTGCAAAATTTGATTAGATTCGCTGACCTCTCCCATCTGTACTGGGATTTTAGATAATGAAAATATTCGTAGCACTAGAATCCTAGATAATGGAAATATATATATACTATTGTGATTTTACTGGAAAAATCTATAGTACCAGGATTCTAGATAATGGAAATATTTATAGCACCAGGATTCTAGATAATGGAAATATTCATAGCACCAGGATTCTAGATAATGGAAATACAAGAATTCCAGTGCTATGAATATTTCCATTATCTAGAATCCCGGTGCTATGAATATTTCCATTATCTAGAATCCTGGTGCTATAAATATTTCCATTATCTAGAATCCTGGTGCTATGAATATTTCCATTATCTAGAATCCTGGTGCTATAAATATTTCCATTATTTAGAATCTTAGAAACCCATTGCTATGAATATTTTCATTATGATAATGGAAATATTTATATCATTGGATTCTAAATAATGGAAATATTCACAGCACAAGCATTCTAGAAATTGGAAATACGTCTTTTTTATTTTTCTGTTATTTCTGCTTTCAATTTGCTAGGTAGAAACATAACTATTAATAAAGTTATTAGCGCAACTTTTATTGATGTACATGGTTGTGTACATGATGGTCACGTAACTGACCATACACACAATTAGAAATAAAGTGGATGAGCGACGTTACTCTTACATCATCAAGGCTTGGTGCTTTCTATACAGAAACAAGAATAAAGTTGACAGAGAATCCTCAAACACGTCTCCTGACGTTGTCATTCTTCCTTCGTTACATCCACATCTGTCTATCTAATCATCCGTCTATCGTGAACGTCTGTCTATTTATTATTAAGAACCGACGATCAAAAATAAACAAGGTACATAGATCAGAATTAAAATATTTCAAACTACCAAATA